ATCAGACTAATATAAATTACCATTGTCACATAATGTTTTCATAAGAAAAAAACACCAAACCTCTTTTAACACTGAACACAACACCAACAATTTATTGTACATAGCAGTCCGACATAGAATTTACTAAACTTCCATGTTAAATGCAATTAATAGAATTTAAAAAAAAAAAAAGTTGTGTGATTAATTTCAATAAGCAAAAGTAACATCTACGTCATACATGATTTGTATGCAATAAATTAAAAATAACAACAGTTAAATCGCGAATTACACTTTATTATAAGACTACTAAAACGCACAAGATTAGTTAATAATAAAGTTATTTATTTTAGCTTAAATAGTTACACTTAAAAAAAAAAAAAAAAATTACTGAACAACCCAGGTTAACTTGATTGCTTGATAGTTTACATTTACTACACTGTACTTTCAAAAGATAGGTATGAGAAAAATAGTTTAATTAAATGTAAGATCGGTATACAAATTAACACTTATTAATAATAAAATAATGCATTATTTTAAATTTTTAATTAAAAATATTGAATCACTTTAGTACACATTAATAAACTTATAATAGTTTTCTACGAACTAAGATATTGCAGCACAACTTGTATAATTACGCACTCCACATATTTTATACATAATTAAACAGTGTGTATATAAACTTTAATTAATAAGAAATACATTAAACTGAAATTATTGATTAAATATAAAGCACAATATAAAAACTTTTACACAGTTTAAATAAATCACAATAACTTGTTTTGTTATGAACTTCTGCGTTCAAATTAAAAACAAATATTGTAGCATCAAAAATCAATTTGGAGTCAATAAAAAATATTTAATCTAATTGTATTCTAGTATTATCATAACTTATCATAATTAAAACTATCGAATTATTAAATTACATGAATATAAAAAAAAAATATGGATACACCCCATATATATAATTAAGTAAATGCTACACTTGTATGTGTTTTTCTAGTCTTACAAATGCATAACATGGCAGATTATGAACTTAGATTTGTTTAATAGTAGAGTGAATTGACCTATAATAAAATTCAAAATAATACTATTATCTATTGAATTTTAATAGTTATTTTATATTTTAATTTTAAAGTAAGTTATGACTAGAGAGCGGATCTTT